GGGGGCAGACACAGATAGAAAGACAGTGACATCGAGGGAGATTCAAACAGTGATAAATGGAGCCATGAGGACTGGTGAAAGAAACATGAGGCATAGCGAGGTGACTGCTGTCGTCTCCGTAAGGTGTGAGGTGTCAGACCAGACCACAGACAGCCACTGTGTGTTGCCAGAATTTGGGTGATTACTGTAACATTGTAACCCACTTTATCTGGAGCTCAGGTGGCCTTAGGCATGCACCCCTGCTTCCCCCTTGTCCTCTTTATCCCCGTCCCATTCACATTCACACACACACAGACTGTTTAACACTCGATGGAGAAGTGTGTCAGACGGTCTCTTGTGGTTCATAGCTGTGTTTCCGTATGGTAAACAACAATTCAGTGTTCATTTTCAAACTGGGCACAAATGTGAAACCAATCCTTTTGGAAGGCATTCACAGAATCATTAAAAGAAAAGTACACCCAGAAATAAAACACTGACCATCATTAACGATAGAAAGGGCAGCCAAGTAATTAATTATTTCAGTACGGTTCTAGATTTCATCAAAATAATGTGTCCTGCGTAGGGTTACGCCCGCTATGTGGAAGTTCTCTCTTAAGTGAGGGTGAAGTCGACACTAGAGGTTCAGTAACTACTAGTTAGTTTGTAACTAAAACCAAATTGGTTGCGTCATGATTACTTGAAGGATAACCAAACTAGTGTGGATGTAAAGTCGTAAGTATAAGGCAAATGGTCAATCAACGATCAAAGATAGAGTTCTATCGACATGGTTAGTGATCATTAGCTTTCTGGATGACAGGAGCCACTTGGCATCGTACCACATCGATGTAAACTAGACAGATATTGAAATACCAATAGAATTGGCCTCTACTGGATTACTGCATTGTAAAGTGGCATGCAAATAATGAACAGATAATGCTGTTTTACCTTTTAATGAGTATAATTCTGTAACATTTTATGATTTACACAGTGTAGCTATTAAGTTGTTACTCAGACTTACTTACTTACTTGTAACTTATCTCTGTAGTGCCACTGCTTTTCTTTAAGTAATGCATAAATTGCAGCTCAGTAATAATTCATGTCATATCTAGGCTAAGTTTGAACACAGCTTGGCTTTATTGTTTTTAGAGATGACTCATTACTGTAGTAAACTAATTATATATCATTCTTCTTCTTCAAACTGTATATAGTGCTCAGTTACAATTAAAAAAAAAAAGAGAGACACATGCAACAGTAAAGCCTTTTGTGACTTCTTGGACAATTACACCCAACTGTCTACGAAAAACTAATCTACAGACTCGAAGCAGAACTTATTCTTTTCCCCTTTTGCTGAATACTGAGTAGCTCCCTCTGCTACTATAGTGGAGGAGGTAATGGGCGAATCAGTGACAGATCTGTGGTGATGACTGTTGACATGCAAGAGAGAGAAAGAGAGAGAGAGACAGTGTTTTGGCAGATGAAGAGAGGGGATAATATTGCCATAGTACCGGGGGTATTAGAGAAAGTCATTACTGTCCATCATCAGGCAAATGAAGACATGTTTAAGTGGAGATGAATAGCCTCATTGATGGGGAAGGCTTGTTACGGTAGATCTGTTTGGAAAAGCAGCCACAGGGGGTTCATATTTCAATAAATATTTGATGGCCGAGGACGGCTGTTTTAGCGCACGTGTGTGTGTGTGTGTGTGTGTGTGTGTATTTAGTGGTGAGGGTTTGGTTATTCATATGTATGGTTATAAGCGTTTGCATATCTATGAAGATCCGTTTGGAAGGGGTTTTAAATGAGGGAGAAGATCACTTTCTTTCCCGCATGGTGAAATCTTAATTTCTTCTTCTCTCCATCTCATTTATTATCCTCTTCACTGCCATCTCACAATCTATCCCTGTTAAAGCTGAACGAGGGGATGTATTTTGCGTAGGCTCAGCAGCATCGGGGCCGACCAAGCTCATCTGAGAAAAGTTATTTGTTCCTTTATTACTTCAGTAAACACGGGAGGAAAAAGTAAAACAGAGCAAAAGAAAGTATACCCAGCTGTAATTGCCCAGTAGTATACTTTTATAGCACAAGTAGTGAAATCATGCAAGTTTGCAGCTGCACTGACAAGTTTGTTTTGTGAATCTGCTTATTGAAGTTGTTTTAGAAGGAGGAACCAGTACTTGATGCCATGAAAACACCTCCATCACGCCATTTGCAACATAGGTACTCTCTGTCTAAATGGATCTTAAGTTGTCATATCACGCATCACAATGTGCAGTTGTTTACCTTTGTAAGGTGATCTCTCTGCACTCTCCGCCTCCAGCCAAGCTTTTCTTTTCAGACCTGAATTAGAGGTCGACTGAATAACCATCATTCACAGCCGGAGGAAACAGCGACATCACCATTAATCGCTGGCGGGGCATCCACTGCCTGACTCAGCGCCTCTAGTCCCTAGGAGCTAAATTCAAAAGACTCCTGTGACTCTGTGCGTGCAGCCTTTTATTTCAGGGCAAATCAGAGCATTATTGAGGAAACCTATTCAAACGTGTAAATTCCCGACAGAAAAACATGGAGGAATCAATGGAATAGAGCATGTATGCAGAACAATATTTAAACAACAGCTCTTGTTACTGTTTCTGCTGAGCAAAAGTAACTCCTGCTACTTGTTGTTCAAGAGCACCTTGTCCTTGTGGATATTTTATAGGTTACAGAGGATTTAATGCATCATCCAAAATCGATTTTCTGAGGGCGGCTTGATTTTTTTATGCCCAATTAACTATTCTGATATTGAAGGATACAGGGGTGACATGTCAGCAATGGATAACTGAAGTGGTTTTGACAGGTGGGCAAAAATGAAAGATTACTGGCAGCTGTGAATAATGTAGTCTTCAATCAATACACAAGGCTGTAAATCTGATGCTTTTAATGAGACCCTGCAGTGCTTTTAATACACACTGAGAGGGACTTAAAATGTCAGTGTGAATTCAATTACTTTAAAATAGAGCAACGGTTTTAAACCTGATGAATCAGAATTTCTGCTGTTTCAACTGTGACATCTGTAATCACCTGGTTTATTCAAGGTGTGCACAGTGTGGAGCACAGAAGTTTCTTGTACTCTTACTTAAAGTGCAATAAAAATAGGAAGTTTTGAAAATGATGACATGGATTTTAATTTTCAATTCTCCAGTATCCTCCCTAAATAGGGTTCCCGAGCAAGTCGAAAAGTGCCAACATAACATATTCTAAACTCCCCGGGAAAAGTGTGCCATCTGTACTGCCTACAAGCTGATGAATTAGAGCAGTGGTTTTGGCTTTGCACCTGCTCAAAACTCGGAAGTCTCTTTTTAAAGTGTGTGTGTGTGT